CCCTGTAAGGGAAAACCACAGAGGGCAATGAGTCGAGGCCTCTGTGGCGAACAGATCGACCTCCGCCTGACCGAAAAGGCCCCAGACCAGGCGGACCACGTCGCTGTGGAGGGACCACTCTCCCGGAGCCGGCGCCTGTCGGGAAAGGGAGTCCGCTACCTGATTGCACAACCCGGTAAGTACACCGCCTGCAGGGTGGACAGGGAACCGATGCCCATACCAGGAGATCCTGGGACTCCTTCAGAAGCTGCGCTGACCTGGTGCCACCTTGGTGGTTGATGTGGTAGACAACAGAGGTGTTGTCCGACCGAACCAGGACATGTCTCCCCTCCAGGCGGGGCAAAAAATGCCTGAGAGCCAAATGTACAGCACGCAGCTCCAACACATTTATATGCCTGGAGCGATCCCGCGGACACCAGCGGCCCCGAACCGCCTGGTGTTGCCACACAGCGCCCCATCCCACAGAGCTGGCATCTGTCGTGACCACCTCTCTGCGACACACAATCACACCCATGGACACACCCCTGGACAAATAGGTCCTGTCTCGCCATGGACTCAGGGCGCGAAGACACAGCCATGTCACCACGAGCCTGCGGTGCCTGTGAAGCCTGGGATCCAGGTTCCAGCTGTTGACCCACCTCTGCAAAGGGCGCAGCGAGAGCAGACCCAAGGGCACAACCGAGTAACCGATGTCAGTTTGCCCAGCAGCTGCAAGAAGGCAACGTAAGGAAGGGCCCTGCCCAGCCTGAATCGACTCACCAGCTGGAGAATGTTGTCCACCCTCTGGACAGACGGGTAGGCCATCATGGAGGGAGAATCCAAACGCACTCCAAGAAAAGTGGTTGTCTGCGATGGAATCAGACAGCTCTTCTCCAAGTTCACCCGGAGGCCCAACCGGGACACATGAGCGAGCAGGCGACTCGTATCGTGAGAAGCCTGCTCTCGAGATGGGGCGCAAAGAAGCCAATCGTCGAGGTATGGCATAACCTTCATGCCACGGGCCTGCAGAGGAGAGAGGGCTGCCTTCACGCATCGAGTGAACACCCTCGGGGAAAGGGAGAGGCCGAACGGGAGCACACGGAACTGCCAGTGGCGACCCCGATAGGCAAACCTCAGAAAACGACGATGATCTGCCGCAACAGGTACATGAAAGTAGGCGTCCGTAAGGTCGATTGAGGTAAACCAGTCCCCCTTCGTCACGGCGCGAAGAACCTCTGCCGTCGTGAGCATGTGGAACGGCAGGACCTTTAAACACTGATTGAGACCCCTGAGGTCCAAAATGGGACGAAATCCACCAGTCTTTTTCGGCACGAGGAAGTAGGTCGAATAGTAGCCTCTGGGTTGCCGCAGAGGATCCACCGCCTCGAGTGCACCCTTGGCCAGGAGGGCGGAAAGCTCCTGGTCCAAGGCCTGAGCTTTCACCGGGTCGGTGATGACGGTCTCCCTGACCCGGCGTGAGATGTGAGGCCGCCGTCGGAACTGTAGCCGGTATCCATGGGTCAGAGTGGCAACCACCCACGGATCCACAGCAAGAGCAGCCCAGTAACTGAGCTGCCGATGAGAAAAACGTCCGACGGCCGGCCCGGTGGAGTCACTTTCTCTCCCAAGGCCCCTAGGGGCTCTGTGGGTGGGGCGGCCAAAGTCTGCGGCCCGGGAGTGCCTGGCTGGTTGACGGACCGGCCCACGAAAATCCCTCCTGGACCTCTGCTGCACCGCATGAGGCCGAAATCCACCAGGCCGATCACACCCCTGAGGCGGCGGCCGAATGCTGGGGCCAGCCGACGGGCGCCTCGGACCATGAGGAGGAGGGGGCATCCCCCTGCTGAGGCCTGAAAGCTGCTGCCTAGTCTGCCGCGCCTGAACAGAACGTTGCAGTGCATCCAAGGCAGCAGAACCGAATAACTCCCCTGGCACCACAGGAACATCACGGAGGGTCCTACGGCATGGTTCAGTCAACGTGGACTGAGCCAGCCAGACCTGTCGACGAGCCTGGACTAGAAAAGACATCACACGCCCAAGCTCCCTGGTCATCAACGCAAAGGCCTGAAGCGCTGCATCGCTAAAGCCAACAGCTGCATCAGCCCCACTGGCATCCTGAAGGGACCCAGAAAGGGCAAACATGAGGTGCGCCAAGGAATTGCCAAGGCGGCCAGCACGCGCTCCGGCATTATATGCTTTACAGAGGAAGCCATCCGTAATACGACATTGAGCCCGCGGGCACCGAACATCATCACGCAGGGCCTCGTCAGGGGACACGATGAGCGAGGCAACAGCAGGTTCGACTGCCGGCATGCGATCCAAGCCTGCCGTAACCGACTCGTGCATAGCTGCCAACACCCGACCATCGGCGGAGAGACGTGAAAAGGCCCTAGGGTCCCGCCAACAAGCATGCAACTCCCTGAGGTACTCCTCCGATGGAGGGACAGAAAAGGGGGTAGGGGCACGTCCGCGCCTGAAAAAAGCACTGCCAGGAGCGGACTCCGTCATCTGCGGGACATCCAGCTGCAACTGCCCCAAGGCCATACGCATGACGTCCTGCATGGAACTGCCACCAGAGCCACTAGCCGCACTCTGAGACGAAGAGCGTGAGCCGGTCTCCGAAGCGCGGGATGACTGTGCGTCTTCCTCCTCATGCCGAAAGTGAGAGGCAGAGGCAGCCAAAGACAGTACATCCTCCTCCACGGCCAACTCCGGCATAGGCGGGGAAGAGAACCCATCCATGGAAACATCCACCTTCTGAGGTGCCTGAAGAAGGGACTTCATCTCTGCCAATTCCGCAGACAAACGCTCAACCATCGTGGAAAGACCCTGGTCAGACTTAGCTCGCCTCTTCTTAGGAGGAGCTACGGAGGCTGCAGCCTCGGTCCTGCGCTTAGAGCGCCTAGCCGTGGCAACCTGCCCAGAAGGTGGAAGGTCACCGTCACGCTCTGGGCGTAACTGGGCCAGACGAGCAACCCTCACAGCATGGGGCATGTAGCTGCAGTTCATGCAGGGATCGCCCGACAGGGCCTCAGCCAGGTGATCATGCCCGAGGCAGGCAGGGCACCGGTCGTGCCCATCATCCGCCTGAAGCACAGCCCCGCAATCCGCACAACAGTGGGAGCTATCCATAGCGCCGCTGTCCCACCACAGGCAGACAGAACCGACCACGATTGGGAGAGGGGGCGGAGAACGCAACCGTCACCAATCACAAGAAAAGAGCAACAAAGGAGCTGACACCGTCAGCTATGCCCAGAACAAAGGGCAAGGAAAAAATCAAATCGGGAGAGGGGGCGAAAACGCAGCCGTCACCAACCAAACCCGGAGGGGCAACACGCAGCCCAATCCAGAACAGGAGGCTTGCTAAGATCGGGAGAGGGGGCGAAAACGCAGCCGTCACCAATCAAAGCAGCAAACGAAGTCAGGTGAATCCCACACAAAACTACAAACACAAGATCGGCTGAAACTGGGAGAGGGAGCGAGACGCTACCGTCACCAGTCACAGAGAGATGTTTTAATAATAACACAGACCAAGAATGGGCGAGGGGGCGTGAACGCCGCCGCGGACCAAAATCCAAAAACTCGGGAGAGGGGGCAAAAAGGGCACCCGTCACCAATCAAAGCAAAAAACAAACCGGCCGAAAGGTTCGGCTAAAATTGGGAGAGGGGCGAGACGCAACCGTCACCAATTAAAGCCAAACGGCAAACTGAGAAAGGCTAACACCGTTAGCGTAGCTCCAACAAACAGTACCGTGAATCGAAGATCCGTCGCAGCCCTAGGAGGGCGACACACCGCTACTCCGGCCAACAGGCAATCGGGCTTCCAACGACGGCGAAAAGATCCAAAAGGCCGATGCCATGCAAAGCGAACCGCACGCGAGAAGAAAAGAGTAACAGAGCATCGGATGACGTCATGCTATATAGCCTCTGATTGATCATCCGATATGTCACAGGTGTGACTCTTTTGGCATTATTACTCGAACGGCGCATGCGCGAAGGGAACATTCAGTGCTTTCAGCACCGCCCTCTGGCGGTCAGTAGGGATGAAATAGAACTATATTTGTCCTTCCTGTTGCTGATTATGGATTTCAGTTTGTTATAAACTTAAATCCAAAACGTATAAATAAAAGCAATGATATCAACTTCATATTCAAACAGTGTCCTCGACATTAATTTTTACTATTGGCTAAAACCCTCAAGTCAAGGTCTTGACTCAAATTCACATTATTTTACAGTAAAACCATCACTGCTAAAAGCTTTGATACATTTTCTAGAGACGTTTTTTATTTTACTTTCCTTATCATCCTCCTTGAAAAATGAAAGTTTATACATTAGTACAAAAAACTCTTCAAGGTCAAAGTTAGTTGAAAAGCACAAAAATGACTCACAGATCCAGAAAAATTAGTTAAATTGATTAAAACCGTATGTAATTTATAGAAAGAAATCTAATATTGCTTCACTACATCTGATTTATATTGCTGTATTGATCATGTAAAAGCCTCCATAAAGCCTTTAATTAACCTTGATTTGAGAAGCCCAACCTTGCACGTTCATTTAGTGAAATTAAATTATTAATGCAGGCAAACAGATGAATCCAATGTAGACGCATTAATTGGGAAATGGTCTCACTGCCTACTTCGCTGCAGCATCTGGCTCTAAATCTGCTTCAGACCAAAACTGACGTTATGCTGCCAACCTCGGTCAGAAGCCATTGCCAGCCATCATTCTACATCAACATGCTTCCTCCTGAAAGTTTATTTCCATGTCTTTGCTTCATGGTTCTGCTAAATACTGTGGTTTCAATGTCATCTAAAGTTTCATCGGTCTCTGTGGCGTTCCTGTCATTTTGTTGAATTTGATCTAGGAAGATCTGCTTTTTCCACTCCGCTATTGCTTCCGCTCAAATAAACACACGGTGAAGTCACTGTGGTCGAGGAAGAGGCTTTAACCAAAGAATGTAATTTCTTTACGAAAAATAAAGCCAAGTTACAAAAACAGGCTGCTTTAAAAACTCTGCTCACCTCAAGGCGATCAGAGGAGCTGTCCTCTAAAGACTCGCTGATGAAATCCTCCAGTGTTTTGGATTGGTTAGCATTGGCAGGCTTTGCTGGCGAGACTCCAGCACCATGTTGTCTTTTCTGGTCTTTCTGAAGACGACGTTCTTTTCTTAAATCTTTGGCCTTTCTGCAAGGCGGACGGCTAGGATCTGCTCCCAACCCTGTGCCAGGAGAGGAAGAATGACTGTCAAAACAAAACTTGAGTATGACTCTAGAACTGGAATTAGTCTGATGAACAGATTCAGATCATTTTCCTGACCAGCCAGTTGGAAACAGGTCCCAACAACTGTTATCGAAGTGGAAGTTGGTACTGAAGGAGGAAAAAATGTTGCTTCATACAGATTTCTTCTATTTCTGAATTAATTTCAGTCAGGCAAAAATTTTATGGATATCTGAAGAACAGTGTTCCAAAGAGGATTTCACTTAATGTAAAAAGCTATCCAGACATTAAGATTTCCTAATTTCTTCTAGACCTCTAAAATCTAGAAACCACTTAAACCAAACCTGACAACAGGAAGCATGCTAAAATATTTCCAAAAATAACGAATCATCAAGAACAAATGAAAAACAAATTCATCGACTGTATGAATTTGACATAAAACTGTCACTTTTTGACTGCTTTTATGTCAAAAAGTGACATAAAAGCAGTGGATGACTTTCAGCTTGACCGATTCTGATGGGTAACTGAGTGAAAACACAAACACAAAAGAAAAAAATCTAGATGTTCCAGTCATAGCTGCCATCAACAGCAGCGCTGTTCCATGTTGAAGTTGCTACCAAGTGAAGCAGATTCAAAGTTGCCTATTTTCTGTATCAGTGAGGTGAGGCGGCTACTTAATAGGAAACAGCAAGTTGGGCTGTTAATTTAAGCTTCCATTATTTAATGAAGTGAGAGTTCAGCAATTGCTCTTTTTAAGCATTTTGAGCTTTCAACTTCTGTTCATGGAACATCTTGAAAATCTTGGATTTAGAAATGTTGGCAAGCTTTAGGAAAATCTCAGTGTTAAGACAAGAGTTACGACCTGTAAAGAATACTCAGTGAAGCTGCTGTTTCCAATTACGATAGCTAAACAAGCTGACTACTAGCAAGGTGCTAAAAAACAGTTTAAAATCGCAAGACGGTCAACATTCTGAAGAAGGGTTTGCTGTAAGTCACTGACTCAATGCAACATCCCGAGTTTCCTTATACAGAAAACATTCCTGATGAACAAACTAAACTACACTTAAACTTGAACTTAATAACTAATATTAGATCGACTTTTATGAAGTCTTGAGATGACATGTCAAGTGATATGTTGTGAATTGGCATTATATAATTAAACTAAATTGAATGGAATCAATTGATTGGTTCATCTCTGGTTTCAGCCTAAAACTAATGAATGTGATAACGTTGAGCTGTTTTATGTGTTGTGGACATTGCTGTAGCTTCTGAACTGTTATAAAGCAATAAAGAATGGGCAAATAAAGTCCAGATGGTTACCAGCTAGCTGGTATTTATTAAGAAGCAGAAGTAAAATTAGTTTCTCCCTTACAGGAAAAAAGTTAATGGAAACAGTTCTGTCTTTCAAGCACACAAACTGTTTTCTTTCTATGTGTTCCCCCTCTTTTCTTCCCCACCACTACAACTTCTTAGGCTCCTTCCAAGCCCTGTAGGACTCCAGGCATCCCATGTCAACAGTTTACACCCCCACATCCTGTTTGGAGCAATAAGGAAGTGATAGTCGTATCCTGCTTGCACCACTGCCAGCTGCCAACATCAGCCCACTGACAAACTTTCCCCTCTGATGATGTCATGAGGAAGAGGCATTTTAGTTCCTCCTTTAAAGCAGATGCTGTCCTCTGAATCTTGAAGCACATTACATTACACTGCCTCTTTCTGAGCAGATTGAACCGAAAGTATCTCTCATCAATAAGAGATACTTTCCTTCTTAATATCACACAGAGACATGTTTACTCCTGAGGATAAAGAATACAGCTGCAGCAAAGATAAACTCTGACACATTACTTCCTGTTCAAGACGGATGCTTTCAGTCCTGCAGTTAACACCTCATAAAATCTGGGATATTCATCTTCCATTTTGAAGGAAATTAAACAAGATACACTGCTTGTAAAGTGTAAATGTAATTCGTATATAGCTGGTTTTTATGTAAACTTTAAAGATGATCCAGGTCATTCAATGTCAAAGTTACTAAAACTCACAATGGGCTTCAGATGAGAGGGTTCTGCTTAAAACCCAAGTGTGTCATTTTCTGTCTACCTAAGAAACCTTCTACAGTAATTAAAAGAGGACAATCTTACATTTTTGTATTGGCTAGTTCCTTTGAGACCCCTGTCTGCATTTAAGGTATGGGAAGTGGTGTTTTCTCAACCTGGAACTGGATCCTCCCTAAAGGTATAAAGCTTCTAGTAATAAAAGCTGAGGAAATATATGACCAGGTGTTTTCTGTTGGAGGTAAATGCAAGGGTGGTGGGGTGGGCAGTAAATCTTTCTGTTTCCGCTTTGCTGAAAAGGCTTGTTATTCCTGACACTGTAGCTCAGAGAAGACTGGTGCTGACACAGGCATAGTGGAACAACAGCACTGCCACTGCTGCAGTTTCTCACTGAATGTTTATGTCTGTGAAAAGCTCAACTTGTTCAGAAGCAGCCTGCCCCTGCAATGGGAGCTGTTCTCATTAAGTTTTTGGAAATTAAAGTTCTACTTCCTGTATCTGAAGGGAGTTTATTATCTTCCCACTTGAGAATTATTGATTCATTACAGAAAGCTGGCAATGAGGATATCCTGTGCTGGCCACGTGAGGAGAGGAATATGAAAGACAAGTCCAAGTCACACAATCTCCTAATAATGAAGGGGTGAGCTCTACTGCCTCCAAACTGCTGCAGAGTGGGGCAACTTGGTGAACAGTGACACCTTCTGGAAGGCAGTGGAAATTAAATATTGCAGAACACCAGCTCAGCAGGAGTCCACAATGGCTAGAAAAAGCTAAAGAACATGAAGATTTTCTTACATTTTAATGCTTTATAAGAGATGTGTCAAAAAGTGTGGCCTGGGGGCAATTTGCATGCTTTAGTAAACTCCACTAAATAATATACTTTTGATCTATATGCTGTATTTGGTGCTCAGAATAAACACAACAGATCCAAAGATAACAACTTTGTTTGTAGTTTTGTTTGTTTTTTATTTTTAAACAAGACAAAACTACCAGATTTTATGTTTCAAATCTACAATAATCTGCAGTTCACTTTTCTATGGAAATAAAACTTCATTTTATGAAAATGTTGTGCAGATAAAAAAAAAAAACATTTAGCAATTTTGCGAGGATATATTAATTTAAAAAAATCATTGTTTTGTGACCTTCAATGACTCTGAACTTAAAATTGAAAAAGTTTGGCTCATGAGGTTGACTGCAATGTATGCCACACTTTTCAGACTTGTTCAACATGCAGATTGGTCTTTACTGTTCACTAATTATCCATCAACACATGAAAGATGCCACTTTTGCAAACATAACGCCTTAGAAAATAAAAGACAGCTGATGGAGTTCCATAAGCATTTGTCAAATTTTTTACAATGACAAAAAAATTACAACAATGGAAATTAGTAAAAATAAATAAATAACTAAATACTGTGAAATTATGTGCGTTTAAAAAGAGCTATACATTCTTTTTACCTGGCTTAGGAGCTTTAGCATCGGAGCCCCCTTCTGAGACAAAAGCTGAATCATTCTGGGAATTTTCTGAACTTGCAGCTGTAGAATCCACCAAATTTTTCTGGACTTCTACAGCAGCGGAACAGTCTGGTACTTCATCTTTAATATCTGCGTTAGCAGCAACTTTTAAATCTGACTGGCAGACTTTAGCAGGTTCCCGTGGACCAGTTTCTTCACAGACAGAATCCATTTGCTCCCCTGCAAGACACAAACAAACATTTATGCAACTAGCGTGTACTATAAACACACATCCAATAACAATCTGCTTATACAGATGAAAAATGTATGTTTTTCATACATTTACAAAACATTTTCTGTGCATGATGGAGCAACCTTCTTACCATCCTCCTGTGCTGTTGGCAGTTCTCCTTTAGAAATATATTTGCTCATTTTCTTCAAGATTTTCTTATGAGATTTAGAAGGCTGGAAATTCAGTGCATGACACCTTGAGGGAGGAAAGATCGAATAAAGTTAGGACATTTTCTGTTTGGGTGGATAGTTTCTCTCCAAGATTAACATCATATGTTTAAATATCAGTTTGTGCTTTTACTGGTGGATTTTTTTAGTGGTTTTAAAATAAATAATTTGGTGCCCAGGTTTAATGTCTGCTAGACTTTCTCTCATCTACAAATTGAGGCCCAAATATAAACACAGCAAATTTCAATGTTCCTTAGCAAGTTGTGGCTAAACTAAAATAAATGACATGCAGTCATCATAAAGTCTGCTGAATAGTTGAACAATGGCACCGCTCATTTCATTGGCTTGGTTTCCTTGCACTATCAAGGCTTTTTAGTGTACTCAATACAGTTTTCGTATAGGCTGAGGTTTGAGAAACTCTAGAGCCTAATGTTAGCCTGACTTATTTATTGCAAAACCACATCTGATGTGTGTTTGGCCTTATTATCCAGCTGGAACACACAAATAGCTCTAATTTTCAACCATCTGATCCAAATTGTCAACCCCAAATAATAGGGAACAACAGAGTCATTTTCCACAATGAAGCCACTTTTACCATGGACAGAGTGTACTAACCCAACAAACAAGCCGCCATTCCAAACTTTAAAACTTGTGTGAAATTTGTTAAATGCCACATCAACAAGCTAAAAGCCTGCTGGAGAAACTTTTATTGAGAGTCTTAACAATGAAACAAAGACTGAGATCAGTGAAAAGAATAATGTTTGGGAAAGTCAAGCTTTTAGACATTAGTTACAACATTCAGACATGGCAGTGGTAGCGTCATGCTGAGGGTCTGTTTGGCTCGGCAGCGGTACTGGCATCACAAAAAGGGTAAGGAGTAGTAAAAAACTGTGGCTGTCTCTAAATTTTTTTATCACAAGAAAACAACAACCTTAAAACTAGCTTCTGAATCCATAAAGAGGTGCAAACATTAACCTCCTGGAATACCCATATCAAAACCACCATAACATTTGCAGACTTCGGCCCGAAAGCTTAGTTTGGGCCAAAAAAAGAAAAGAAAAAAAAATTTCAGTAATTCTACCAAAAAAAAAGCACCTAAATATCCAGAGGCATTTTAGGTCACAGGCACTCAGGATGATGGGGGCAAAAACATTGTGGTGGAGGTGCAGTTTACTAGAGACACAACTGAAAAATAGTTGGCAGTATATGTATACATTTCACCCTATAAGTCTAATTTTCATCCTTCATGGATCATAGTGAATCCACTTCAAATTTAAATATTTGCAAATGATTCTTGTTTTGTCTTTTTATATCATGTCATGATTCCACTCTGGAAAAAGAACAAGTCAAACAAAATTATTAAAAGCCCCAAATTTAGATTAAATTCATTCCTTGATTCCAGCTGTTCTCATAATGTGAATGCTTAACTAAAAGAATTACCTGATTGTATACTGAGGACAGCATGTCTTCTTCATTATGGGCTTGTAAACATATTTTCCACTTCTGAAAAACAAAACAATGGTAACATTTACTGCGAAAGTCATTCTTCTCTATTAAAAGATTTTACACTGCTACATTATAATGTATAAAATCAGAGCAGGTGAAATGAGAAGACAAGCATTCAGATTACTGACAGGGTCATCCATTTCAGACAAAAAGAGCAAAGAGTCAATTCAAGCCTATGTCTAGATTATGAACCACAGTGGATAGTCATGTGTACATCGAAAAATAGATATTACTTAGACTAAAGAGGATTTAAAGCCATCAACCAAAAGAAAATAAAATCAAATTACCCAGGTAAAACATGTCAATGTAAAGCAAGAAAATAAAGAAACAAGATACATAAAATCAGACATTTACAACAAATTGAACAGAATTTTTCTTCGATTAAAGTAGTACATTTAGGAGATGAGCATCTGTTTTTTGTTTTTGTTTTTTCCCCAAACAAAAAAGGTAGATTCAGCTTTTTTCATATCAGAATATCTCCTGTGTGTATATCCAGAAATATCCGGATGTGCATCTCCAACATTTACCCCCTCTGCTCCTTTGTTGATAAATGAGTTTCTAATCTCAGAAAACGTCTGAAAATTTCTCTTGAAAATTTCTGACTTTACAACGTCAGAGAATATTCAAGTTTTGATACTGTAAATTTATGTGTTTCATCACAGAAAATTGCGATACATTAGTGCAGGAGACTTGCAGACACAATCAGGTTGATTTTGCAAAAGGCTGACATCAAAGAATAACTTACTTATCTTCTTTTAAATATGTGAAATTAATCTACAAATTTCTATGTTTTTCTGGCAGAAATGTACTTCTCTGTGGCCAATTAATATTTATTCTTTTTTATCTACAAAGGCTTTTAGGTCCATAAGTAAAAAATAAGACCAGGCAGCAGCTTAACAATCAAAAGTAACTTCTAATAGTAAACAAATAAAATGGAAGCAAAGCTACCCCAGAAAAAACCAAATGAGACAAAAAAAAACTGCAGAAAAGATACAAACAAATGAAGTAAAACTGTTTTTATCTGAATACATGTCCAAGCTTTTGTAGGATGAGAGTAAAACTTTCTCCATACAAAACAAATGATGAATGTACCTTCTCCATCCCCGATCGATTAAATCTTGGTAGTCTTGTACAGTCATAGAATGGGACCACATTCCTGCCAAAAAAACAACAACAAAGCATTTATTTTTCAAAGTAATCATAATCAAGATGTTTAATATATTTCATGTAAAGGAAAAGAAAAGCTTTAGAAAAGATTCTGCAATTTAGTATCAACAAGTGACAACAAAATTATTGTTTATTATACACAATAGTGTGCAGTTTTATCTGTCTAAAGTTACAGAAAAAAAAGAGACAATTTTAAATTATAAAACTGAGTGTAGCACAGTCAAATTCATGTAAACACTGTTTTACAGTTTTCAGCAGAAAGATAAAACAGACTCTAGTTTGTTTAAGAACTCCTTGAGAATGGAGCACTGGGGAAAAATATTTACTGCATCTTAAATCACATTTTCCTTGACGATCCAGTCCTAATTTCCCACAGTGCTGCAAAGCCCCGATGGAAACATACAAGTCTGTTATTTGTAGCCAGAGCAGATCCGCTGAGATTTGGATTCTGACCTTTTATTAACACACAACAACCATATGCACAACAGATACAAAAGTTCAGCTGCTGAAACTTGGTGCTGTACAACTGGAACAATATCACCATAAAAGTTTCCAACAATACAGAAAGAAAGTTGATAGATTTACCACTATTAGGATTTTTAAAGCAAATAATAATGATTTTAAAAATCACGAGAGGTGTCTGAAAAGTCAAAAATATACAGTGATAAAGTACTAACAACAGAGTGTCCTTCATTCTGATCACACACCCTCCCTCCATCCCCACTTTTTATCTTTTGGCTGGATCTCTCTTGGCTCTGCTCACTTTGGAGGAATTTTTCAAAATCTACCAGGGGTGAGGTTTTGCTTTCACAGGGGGTTAGGCTTTAAAACAAGGTGTCAAACTCATTTTCATTTTAGGCCACATTAAGTTCACGAAAGAGACAAGGTAAAACTACGCATTAACAAACTGTTAAATATTAGACCTTTCTCTGACTTAGATTTGCATTACTTAAGATTGTATAATATTCAATATCTGTTATCCATATATCTACAGTTAGGGCCAGAAATATTTGGACAGTGACACAGGTTTTGTTATTTTAGCTGTTGACAAAAATATGTTCAGAAATACAATTTATATATAATATGGGCAGAAAGTGCACACTCCCAGCTGCAATATGAGAGTTTCCACATCCAAATCGGAGAAAGGGTTTAGGAATCATAGCTCTGTAATGCAGAGCCTCCTCTTTTTCAAGGGACCAAAAGTAATTGGACAATGGACTCTAAAGGCTGCAAGTAACTCAAAAGGCCTTTCCCTCGTTAACCTGTAATCAAGTAAGTAGTTAAAAGGTCTGGGGTTGTTTCCAGGTGTGTGGTTTTGCATTTGGAAGCTGTTGCTGTGACCAGACAACATGCGGTCAAAGGAGCTCTCAATTGAGGTGAAGCAGAACATCCTGAGGCTGAAAAAAAGGAAAAAATCCATCAGAGAGATGGCAGACATGCTTGGAGTAGCAAAATCAACAGTCGGGTACATTCTGAGGAAAAAGGAATTGACTGGTGAGCTTGGGAACTCAAAAAGGCCTGGGCGTCCACGGAAGACAACGGTGGTGGATGATTGTCGCATACTTTCTTTGGTGAAGAAGGACCCGTTCACAACATCAACTGAGGTCCAGAACACTCTCAGGGAAGTAGATGTATCTGTCTCTAAGTCAACAGTAAAGAGAAGACTCCATGAAAGCAAATACAAAGGGTTCACATGTAGATGCAAACCATTCATCAATTCCAAAAATGGACAGGCCAGAGTTAAATTTTGCCCAAAACACCTCAAGAAGCCAGCCCAGTTCTGGAAAAGTATTCTATGGACAGATGAGACAAAGATCAACCTGTACCAGAATGATGGGAAGAAAAAAGTTTGGAGAAGAAAGGGAACGGCACATGATCCAAGGCACACCACATCCTCTGTAAAACATGGTGTAGGCAACGTGATGCCATGGGCATGCATGGCTTTCAATGGCACAGGGTCACTTGTGTTTATTGATGACATAACAGCAGACAAGAGTAGCCGGATGAATTCTGAAGTGTACCGGGATATACTGTCAGCCCAGATTCAGCCAAATGCTGCAAAGTTGATCGGACGGCGCTTCACAGTACAGATGGACAATGACCCCAAGCATACAGCCAAAGCTACCCAGGAGTTCATGAGAGCAAAAAGGTGGAATATTCTGCAATGGCCAAGTCAATCACCAGATCTTAACCCAATTGAGCATGCATTTCACTTGCTCAAATCCAGACTTCAGACGGAAAGACCCACTAACAAGCAAGACCTGAAGGCTGCGGCTGTAAAGGCCTGGGAAAGCATTAAGAAGGAGGAAACCCAGCGTTTGGTGATGTCCATGGGTTCCAGACTTAAGGCAGTGATTGCCTCCAAAGGATTCGCAACAAAATATTGAGAAAAAACTTTTTTGTTTGGGTTATGTTTAGATGTCCAATTACTTTTGAGCTCCTAAAATGTGGAGTGTTTGTAAACAAATGTGTACAATTCCTACATTTTCTATCACATATTTTTGTTCAACCCTTTAAATTAAACGTTACAATCTGCACTTGAATTCTGTTGTAGAGGTTTCATTTCAAATCCAATGCGGTGGCATGCAGAGCCCAACTCACAAATATTGTGTTACTGTCCAAATATTTCTGGCCCTAACTGTATGTAGTATCCAAGTAATTAAGTAATTGTATTATTAATACCTTCACTTTGACATTGAATTAAGAAGTTTCTTAATTTAATGATAGTCCACCAGATTTTACAGAGTTAAATCAACCAAAATAAATCAATAAATGCAACATCTCAAGTAAACTTTTGAAAAATGTCTGAAAACGTGCCATGACGAGGATCATTAATCTAAGATATTCATGTCAGTCAGACGTACAAATTAATCGCCCCACATGCGACTGATGTGAACAAAAAACCTGCTGTCCCTGGAGCACAAAACAATCACCTGATCTGTTCTTCAGTTTTTCCTGAAGCAAAACAGACACAATAACAGCAGATGTTAGGTTCTGCACTGCAGAGTGAGCTGTGTTTTGTGTCCAACAGAAGCCTTGATAACATCATCCAACCAACCACAGTGATGGAAACTAATTAAACAGTGAATACGGAAAGACAATTATCTGATAATCACTGCCATATTTTTCCAGCACAGATTAAATCTGTATGTTCTCCTCAGAAAATAACCACTTTACATCGAAAATATTACACAAAAGCGCTTAAAAAATGTTAAAATTATAATCAGTTTGAAAACTGAATACACATCTTTTCCTTGGGTTATGCAGAAAATTCCTGCTTCATGTAAGAATTAGAAATGTTTTTATGTCTTCTGACTTCTTGGGGCTTTGCCATGCCTCCATGACGTAACCTACCCAGATTATCACTCTTGGATTAGATCACAGCTATCGTCTGCAGACTTTGTACCCAGTTGCTCATTGACTGCATTAGGAGCTCCCTGAACCCTAAATATAGTCAACCTGATTATAATTTAATGCCACCATTCCTCTCTGCAGGAAAAATTACATCTCTTTTCCTTTTTTTTGTGTGTTAAAATATGAATGCCCCATAACCCATTCATTTTCAGAAAAACATGCACCTTTTGATAGAAGACAGTTTATATACATTTTTCATAGTAAATGTACTTGAGATTACAGATGGAGAACCACAATTTAAATACCCAAACAGAAGAAAATAAGCAGAAAACTTTTTTAAAAAACAAGGCAACCAGTAATAATCTGAAATCTGCTGCAGCTCCCAGCTAAAAAAACCCCATTAAAGTAAATAACCAGGGAATATAGATTTGTGAAAGATATGTTTGATAAGTATGGGTGTCAACATTTGTATGGCTTCCTTCTTCAGGTGCAAGAAAGAGTTCACATTGTGGTCAAGGTTCAACAAATGTAAAAAAAAAAAATCAATAAAAATAAAGCATAGGAAGTAGAACTGCACAATACACTGAAAACCAATCATGACTGCACAATGACTATATTTATCTATATATATGGGGGGAGACAAATGTGCCTTGAGACAAATATATTGTGACATATAATTGTTACAATATTTCAACATATTTTTAAAGTAAGTAAAAATAAAAAGATTTTGTTCAAGAAATTACTCAAGAGTAAAAAGGTAATGTCATAAAATGACTACTTGAGTTTAGAGTAACTGACCAGAATATAGCATTGAGTAGATTAAAATGATTTTACTGAAAATCAAAAATTCTCAGAGCAAATTATGTTATTTAGAAAATTAAGATGAAATAAATACAAACTAAAATAATCAGAAAATATATGACATTTAGGCAGAAGAAACCATTTTCCACATCAAAAATTTTTGATAGAAAACCAAAAGACAATAATGGATTTCCTTCAAAGAATTGTAGGCTTTTCAAATTTCAATCATTTAAACCGAAGATGAACTGATTTGAATATAACATATATACTTAAAGTAATCTATATATGTTGGACCAGAGGAAAATACCTCCATTGATGATACAATGTTTACTGCATCTTCATGACCAATTGCAAAGCAGATAGAAAATGACAATAGAACAATAAAGCTTACAAACAAGAATTCTAAAATATGTGTATCTGATTGATTTTTGGTTAAAACATCACTGTTCTTCATTCAGCAAAGTTACTTGTAGTACAAAGGATATCTACAAATCTCTTTCAACTAAGAGTAGTGATACTTTATAACAAGTCAAGTCTAGCAAAGCTATTCCAAAATGTTTTTTTCTTTGTTTGTTTAGGGCGGTATTTTCATAAACTTTCCTTTAGTAACTATATATTACCCACCTGACCTAAATTATCTAAAATAAATGTTAATAATGAAACTTAATATACCCAACAAAGTCTGAAGGGGATACATTTCAGATCTTAAAATAGACAGCAATAAAATAAAACACATTAAAGTCCATTGAATAATCAGTCCACTGACTCTTGTTTAGCAACACTGGATCTGATCAATAACCTCCTGTCTCTGTTTACTTGGCAATAACAATGCATTTTTAAAAATAACAGGTTGCAAATACGGTGACTGTAGATGTACGTCTCTGACAGACACATTTTCTTTGACGTTTGTTTATGTCATGCTGAACTTGTCTGACCCCATCCAGCAGTCTAAATCAAACCAAACGCTTGACGATGCATTCTAGCTAATGGGTATTCGATACCTTCTTCAAGCCATTCCAGTGAACGATCCAAAGAGAAAACACGATCTTACTGAAACTCTTTCCACTGAACACGGAAACAGCGTAGAAAGGAATAGTTAACTGAGGCGGTATTGTTCAATAGCTAGCAGAAGTACAGATAACCTGTTGAAGTAACCCGTAGTAAAATATACTGAACATGACAGTAGTACCATATAGTGCGCTTCTGTTTTGCCTAGTTTCACTGAATGACAGAGCTGGGTTTTTGGGGGGTTTCTTCTGAGAAAAGCTACAGGAAGCTGCCAGCTAAAAGCTAAGCTAACGCTCAGAAAGTGTTCACTTTAGGGTCTAGTCAAGAAATAAAACAATTAGAATGTAACATATACTGACATTATAATAAGTCGCACAGAATTAACTTCAAATACACATCGCATGTTCCTAATTTTGTATCTATTTCAAGCAAGTACATGGCTCAGCTTGATTAGCATTAGCTAGCTCAGTAAAATGCCCAACTCTGTTTCGACATCTTCAACAGAACCTACCGTGAGAGAAGTTTCCCTTATCATTTTTGCAGTAACCGCAGCGGTAGCCATCATCCCCTCCAAAATATTCTACTATAGTGTAAGAGTTGTTTCCTGCCATCTTTACGATGCAGACACAGCTGACAGCTGAGTTTGGTAGGTCAGCCAGACGCATAGGATCCGCCCCGCAGCCTATGCGTCTGTGATGCTGCGTTCAAAGACTCCATGTCTGAGTTGGTCTGAGAGCGTTAATATCCACTGTAACAGATGCCTCTAGTATATTCACAAAATTCAGATTGTATTAATCTTTTGCACACAATTTTACGGTATTGAGTACAACCCTAACATGTACATGGGAGATATTGTTACAATAGATTAACAATTATGCTTGTTTCTGGTATACACACCAGAAATGTTCACTTAACTGAACCATTGTTCCAGTTTATTGCATAAAATGAATAATGCATTTGCATTTATATAGTCTGATAAGAACAAAGTACACACTCATGATTTAAGAACTGTACACCATATTTATTAAATTATCTCTGCAAAGAGGACAGCAAAAAAAATCTGATCTTGCACAAACAATACTTGCAGTGGTTTACAAAGCAAAGGGAGACTTTAAATGTAAAAAAATAAATTAGAAAATCACAGCTGAGCCAATGATCATTTTTTTAAATTCTTGTTACAAAAATGACTAAGTACAAGGGGAAATGAGCTTCACTTCATGTCTGCATTATGCATATCTTTTTTTGTTGCCGTTCTAGCAAAATGTATGTTTTGTTGATGATTCAGATTCACAGGATTCAGGACTGGTTCACACAATTAGGAAATTGGAAATCTACAAATATCAACTGCAAATCTCCTGCACTGATTTAATAAACTCAGACAGGTAAGCAGCTAAAGTTGAAATGATAACATTTCACACAAGACTCTAATACACTCTTTCCAGACAACTGTCGGTTTGGCTCTAGCTGGGAGGTCTCCTAATTAATATGTCCATGAGGGACCGGGATGCTCTCGTGGAGATATTTCATACTGCCTTGCTCAGAAAAGTCTGCCACAGTGTGCCCCTCTCCTCGAAGGACCCATTTGGTTGTGAGGAGTCCCTCCAAACCCACTGGTCCCCTGGCATGTATCCTTGCTGTGCTAATGCCAACCTCAGCTCCTGCAGGGATTAAAAAAAATGTAAAGAAAATTTGAAAAAGATGGAAAAAATCAATTATTTTGCACTTGAAAGCATTGTTTATTAATAAAGAGGTATATAAAAGGCATGCTTGATGTTTTGCTCACCCAGGCCAAAGCGGTATCCGTCGGCAAAGCGAGAGCTGGAGTTCCAGAACACGCAGGCACTGTCGACCTGCTGCAGGAACTGCTCGGCTGTTTCCTCGTTCTCTGTGACAATGACATCAGTGTGGGAGCTGCCGTATTTGTGAATGTGGTCCACAGCGTCCTGCATGCTGTCTACCACCTCGATGCAACACTCCAAGTCCCCGTACTCTGTTCGGAGAGACTTCACCTCAGACGGGCTAAAGGTTAAGTATGATGCAAAGCGAGGACCCGCGTGAATCTTTACCTGAAAAACAAGAATAATTAGTGAAACAAAGAACCAAACTACCTTCCTAGTGGAGACCAGATTTGGTGTCAGTGCATGTTTCTTACTTCTTCTGTCCTCAACATATCAATGATCTGGTCGAATAAAGGAGTGCGCAGCAACTCTCTGTGAATAAGAAGGGTCTCCATGGCATTACAGGCAGCAGGATAGTCACATTTGGAGTCTCTGACTGGAACAAAAGAGTCTCCATGTTCATTCAGCAACAAAATGTTCACCATTTTAATAAAAGTTCTAGCATTTTCATCTTTTACTAAATGACAATCACAAACTTGTGTTATTGGGATTTTATGTAAACATACAGACAGAGCTACAATATCCATGGTTGGATCAAAATTATTCCAGTGTTATAAAGGCCTAGTCAAAGACCAAAACAAGCTTAAATTGTTTTGCGAAGAACAACAAAGATTTAAGTCTCTAAAATTACAAAACTGGTAGCGATATACCCCAAAGATTCTGCAAATTATTGTTTCAGAGACACTGAAAACAAAACCATGCCCAGACCAAACACATGCCTGAATTTCCTCTTCATTCCTCCCAACTGTTCTGTGTTGGTTCTTTACATAAAATCCCAATGAAACACAATGTAGTTTGTTGTAAATTGGCAGAAAGTGAAAACGTTTCAGATATATGACATTTAAACAAAATCCCAGAATGAAGACTTTTCAGCTGTATGCCACTAATACATACCAACATCAATGGCTTTGTCCATGCTGGCTTCACTGTCAACATAAACATGGCAGACACCCTCACTGTGGCCCAACACAGGAATGCCCTTGGCTGCTCTCTGAATGTCTCGGACCAGCTCAGAGGAACCTCTTGGAATGATCAAGTCGATCATTTTGTCCAGCTTGCATAAATCCTCCACCTCCTCACGCGTGCTCACCTTTATAACATTTTACATTTTAATGCAAGTTGAAAATTAAGGATGTGACTGAATAAACAAGCCTTACCAGCTGAATGGCATCAGTTACTCCATGAATTGAAAGTGCTTCCTGTGTGAGTTGATGCAGGATTTTGTTGGTGTTTGACGCTTCTTTGCCTCCTTTAAGAAGCAAAGCATTTCCACTGGCAATTGCAAGGGCCGATACCTGTAGAGTTTTTATAATACGTTGCAACGGTTCTGATCATCCAAAATTTACAGAAAAGCAGAACAGTTGGTTCTACCTGTGGGAGGCAATCAGGACGTGACTCAAAGATGACCAGCAAGACCCCGATGGGAACAGTGATTTGCTCCAGCTCCAGGTTGTTAGCCACCCTGGTCCGCCTCAGCACCCGACCCACACTGTTCCCAGAAGATACGGCAAGTTGGCGCAAGCCGATGGCGAGGCTGTTCAGCTTAGCAGTAGACAGACTGAGGCGATTGATCAGAGGCTGCGACAAACGACCTGAGTGCAGAGTGATTGATTATTTTAAATATTGTTTGAGATGTACCAATTAATACTGTAAAGTCCCAATTCACCTATTATTTCAGGTTTATAAAGCACATAAACTAATGGGTGTACTTCAGTGCAATTTGTTTGGAGTTTAATGACCAGAAAAAAAGGTTAGTGACATGTGTTTTGACACAAAAATGTAGAACATTTTGAAGTAGTCATTTTTTTGTAGGTTTTAAAATTAGTTTGTTTTTTAAAATGCATGTCACATTCTTCAGAAAAATGAAAATTGACATTGGGAGATCAGATTTGAAAGAAATTCAGACAACAAAGAACAATTCTTGGTCTAGCTCTGACTGAAAGGAATAATTTTTCTTTCAGTGTCAGCAGCAGCAATGAGCTCTACCTGTTGCTAACTCCATGTCTTTCCTGTTGGCACTAAGAATCTCATCCTTCTTTTCTGTAAGCAGCTCAGCAAGACAGCAGATGATTTCTGCTCTCTGCAAACACAAGCATTGTAATAAAAAAAAATTAAAAACACACGTCTCCTAATAACTCCTCATTTCGGTGATATCTTTCACCCTCATACCTGTTCAGGGAGTAAAGAAGCAAGTGTCCGTCCAGCGTGCCGTGCCATCTCTGTCTGCTGTTCCACTGTCGGCCCTGATTGTGGTCGATACATATAAAGATCAAAATTAAATGCACATCCAAAAATAAAGATCAAGTACCTTATCCATGTGGTTTCAATAAATACCTGCAGGTTTTACTTCGGAGAAAAAGGTGCCAACTTTTTTCCCTTCAACAATGTCTGTGATGACATGGCCTGTGACTTTAGGATCCGTGCCATTGGCGATGACAACAGAGGTCCCTCCTTGCAGTGCCCAGAGGGCTGCTTTCACCTGATCCACATCAAATACTTCGTCAGAACTTCGTCATTTTTAAAGCCAAGATCTTCCTTTTTTGGAATCAGAGATAACAGATTGTCTGTAGTGCTCACCTTGGCCTCCATGCCACCAATGCCGACTCTGGACTTGGTGCCATAAGTGATTGACTGCTGGTCCCCAGGGTAGAAGATGTCAATGAGCTTAGCATCATCGGTTCCAGGAGGACTGTCATACAAGCCTGCAGGACACAGTTTTACACATTAAAACTTTGACTTTGAGTTAAACTAAGGATGTTTTAAGACTTTTACGATCATTTTAAATTTAAAACCTACCTACTTTACGAAAAATCTTAAGACACCCAACTACTTTTAAACAGTAATTTTCTTCAAGGGTAAACTTGGAGATTAGTGAAATGGACGAAATTATGTACAATTAGAAACATCAGTCAGTGTTAATAAACCAAAAGATTCAAGTTGGAGCTACAAAGATTAAAATTACTTCTTTTTCAGCACCACCGTGAATCCTAGCATACATCCAAAATGACAACAGATTGCTGTCAGAAAATAAAGTTTTAGGTTGGCCCTGTTAGAATTCAGCACTAAATCTGACAGAAAGAAAAATTGTGGTTTCACCTGAACAAGTATGTGGACAAGGGAGCCTGAAAGATCTGGAGAACTTTTAAAGAGCAAAGGGGGGAAATATCTTCAAGTCAATATGTGACACACTGACAAGAGTGAATGCTGAAATTAATCGGTTAAATGTCATTTTTTTGTCAACAGCAAACATTTCCTTCTTCACTGTACCTTGAACATCAGACAGAGCAATGAGAAGATCAGCTTTCATCTCGACAGCCAGCCGTGCAGCCAAGCTGTCATTGTCTTTTATGCTTATGACCTAAAATACAAACAAAAACTTATTCACCTAACATGTCTCTTAGTCACACATTAAACAAATACTCGTGGTCAGTAAATGGGACAGCACAAAAATGAGCATGCAACTACCACTTTTACCCATTCTAGCATGCCCAACAAACAGTACTCACATTCACCCCCTGTAGGTCACTGTTGGGAACAGGGGGTGGCACAACGGCGTCATTGGTGTTGATGATAGGCACGATGTTCATCCGCAGCAGCTCGTGTAGCGTGCTGTTCAGGTTGCGACGTTTCTGCTCGTCGTGGAAATCCAAATTGGTTACCAAAATCTAAAGAAAGAACAGAAATAATCACATGTAAGAAGCTTTTCAACCTATCTGCTGTTGGTTGTAATCTGTAAAGAAATGCCAAATACAA